AGCTTATTGTAACAACTTACTGGAACTACTGAGAATTGTAAATGTCAAATGGAGCCTGCAAATCGCCTAGGTCAGCCATGGTATGATTTACAACTATGTATTTCATGCGAAGAGCCATTGGTAGTGTGAATAATGTAAAATGATCCTGCCTAAAGTACTGTGCCTTTTAGTGATTTATCACTTTCCAAATGCTGACGAGAATCTTCTGCTTATCAAAGGCTGTTGCCAGGAGGTGAGCTTGAATTAACCTTAAAAACAATGTTCAGTCCAGTCAACTTTTCTATAAATATTGTGCATGATAAATTACATTAGGAGACTATTTACAAAATGTGGAAAAATCAATAATGCGCTAAAAAGAATGTTTACCCAACAAAGGAACCAAACATACTCAGAAGATGGGAAAATTTTTGAAAAAGAAAATCTCCAAGTCTTCAGCAAATGGAAGAGATTTTTTTTCTTCTTTTTATTTTTGCATCTGTGGGGACAGGGCTAGAGGTAGGGAGTCTGCTTTTCTTTTATTTCCTAGCAGTCACAGTAGCAGGGATTGTTGTCTACTGAGTGTCTCTCTGTGTCAGTCCCTAACAAGGCACCCAGTGCTCTCGTCCCCTTTAATTTAATCCTCATCACAGCATAAGGGCATCATGACTGTGTGCTCCATGTTTGACAAATGAGGAGACTGAGAGCTGTGGAAGTGAGCAGGTTGGGTTCAATCTCAAAGCCAGGAGGAGACAGAGTTCGTTGTGCTGAAGAACGGAGTGGCTTAGCAACTCGCCTTCGGTCACACAGCTTGTAAGTGACAGGGTGGGATTTGAACCAGATTCCATCCTTTCAGTGCAGAATATTTGGAAGATCGACCAGTTGACCCATGTGAAGAGTGTGTCTTCATGTGGTTTTGCACATCTGGCAAACTTGTACCCAGGGAGGGTCAGTTCAGCACCTCATGCCTCTATACTAAGAAATTACTTTCAGAAATAGTCACATCATATGGCTTCCCCGGTGGTGCAGCAATTTGAGCACAGCACTGTGAGGCTGACTGCAGCCTTCTCAGTGCTGGTTCGATTCCCGGCCAGCCAGGGAGATTCTCACATGGCACGGTAGACCTCTCCTGTCGCGCCCACTGCTCCCCTCAGCAGTGTATTTCAGTTCCTCTGCCTGTTCTGCTCCCTGCTCTGTCTCTGGTGTATTCTCTCACCCTCCCGTGCCTCTGGCCTGTACCCCAGTGCTTGTATAAATAAATAAATCTTAAAAAAATCATGTCATAGCCGATATTAATAATTTTTCTTTATTTGTTCTTTATTTTTTAAACACTACAAAAAAAGATGAAACTTTAATTAAAAATATTTTATGATGCAACTAAATACCTGGTATACTAACTAAAATATATATTTATCAGACAAAAACAGCATGGCCTGATACTACTCTGTTCCCTTGGTTTAGACTTTCAGCATAAAAATGCCAGGTGGTGCCAGAGAATGACAGAATCAAAGTGACCCTAGTTGTTTCTTTCTCTTCCTCTGTGCTATCTTTGTTTATTACAAATCTACTGTGTAAACATTGAAGAGTGTGATATCACAGGTGACGGAGACCCAGCAGCCAAGTAAGTCCCACTGTGAAGTTGCCCTCAAATCTCTGTGGATGGCATAGTCCATGTGGACTGGGGACCTATTTTGCCAGGTAAAGTCTTCAAATAAACTTCATGTTTCTTTTTTTAAGATTTATTTATTTATTTATACAAGCACTAGGTACAGTCAGAAATGCCGGAGGGTGAGAGTATTCACCAGCACCAGAGCAGGGAACAGAACAGGCAGACTGATGAAGTACACTGCTGAGGGGAGCAGCGGGCATGGCAGGAGAGGTCTGCGCGCTATGTGCTATGTGTGACCCTTGCCGGCTGCCGGGGATCCAACTGGTGCTGCAGAGGCTGCGGGCAGCTTCTCAGCCCAGCACTCAACAGCTGCACAACCAGGGGAGGCCCTTAACTTCATGTTTATTAAATGGTAAGTAATTAAAAGTTGCTCCTGTGAAGCTTGAATGTATATGTATACAGTGCATAGAGATAGATGCACAGTTAGAACAATGGTGATCACCACAATCAATTAGAACTTGGATCAATGAAAGTTTTTTGGAAGAGAGTTTTATCATTGATATTGTTAAGAATTGTTGGGACTTAGGGAAAAAAACATAAAAGAAGACCACTTTTTAAAATTGATTTTATTAAAATGAGGATAGTTTAATCTCTCGATTATTCTGGGGACAAACACTTGGTTTGTCGATCAATTTTTTTCAGTGAAACCTATGGAATGTGTGGCTCTTCCCAGCACCTGCTCCTCGCCACTGGGGCTGTCTTTTGGTCCCTCCCCCTGACCTCTGCTACAAATCCCAGGAAATACTGAAATCTAGGTCACCTCCTCCTCCATATGCATAAAACAGCCTGGTGTTTAAGAAATGTTTATATACTTTCACTGAATGAACAAGAAGCATACATTAATTGAGCGAGAACTGTCTGATACATATTGGGTATCTGCTGTGTGTCAAGAAAAGAGCAGGATGTGTTATATATACCCTCTTTCATTCAATCTTTAGTGCAGAAAATAAAGAAAAGGAGAAATAAGATGCCCAAATGATCCACAAGCCAAGTACTTCTCTCCAGAATAATTGAGAGATTGAACTATCTTCTTATTAAAGACCATTCCCAGCATGGTGTGAAATCAATTTTTAAGACAATTTAGAAATAATGCTATGGTATACTCATTAAAACCCCAGATCAAAAGTAGATGTTTTGGGGCCACAACTCAGGGTTCATACCAGGTCTCTGATTGTTCTAGAACTAAAATGGCTTCTACCCAGAGATCTGCTAAGGAAAGCTCTTGGTCTCCTGGTTACTGATTCCTGTTTTTAACTGTCAATCCTCCAAGAAGTTTGATATAATCTGTACTCTAAATAAAACGTGATGAATCACCATCCATGGGAAATTCAGTATGTGAGATCATAATTTCCTCTAAGTTGGCATCCAAGTATCCTAAATACTTCTCAGCCACCACCCAATAAGAGTAGACTCTCCTTCTCTCCTAGGCTTACGAGTGCCTCCAGTCCTGGGCCTCCCCTGCTATCTTCTCCACTGGGGGAGGGAGAGCATAACTGTTGGGTCCTAGGTAAGTTAACCCAGGCAAACTCAACAGTGGGTGTTTTACAAATACTTCATGGGTTAATAAAGCAATAAACGAATACTTGGTCAAGTGAGAGCAGTTGACTTGAAAGTTCCCATATGGAAGATGATGAATTGCCAGTAAAATATAAGCTGACAAAGATCTGAGTATCAGGATAGCTTAACAACCTGTGTCCTGAATTACCAACCATGTGACATACTGGGTGTATCCTGTGAGATTACAAAAATTAGGTGTGGCATCTAAGCCTGGGCTGCCCAGACAGCTGTGTAAGACAGGAGAACTAGTCTCTGCCATAAACCCATGCCAAAGTGCATTGCACCCCGAGGCCTGCATTGTCAGATTAATTTTATAGATTGTTAAGAAGTCACTTTCCTATAATTAAACCTTTAAAAATGCAGCTTCTTCCAGACAAAGGTTAATACTGACTCTCACCAAGCCTAACTATATGCCCAGCTACATGGCCTGGTGCCAGGGTGCCAAACACACGTCTCCTTGAACCTGGTTACTTCCCCAGTTCCAGGGACCAATCATTGTCCTCAGGACAAGTCATAATGAGAGCAGGTACGGAAACGCCTCATCCCGGGGAGGTAGCCCTTGCTGATTGTTCTGCAGTCTGATTCCATTTCCCTGCCTCCAGTGGACAGAGTTTCTAGGACACTTGCTCCCTGACAACAACAACAGGAAGCCCCAGAGCATTCCCTTTGGTGTACTGGGTCCTCCCTGTCAGCCCAGAGCACCAAGGACTGCCACTGCCGGGAGGAGAGGAGCTGGAACAGAACTGTTGAGCTCCTTCTCCTCGCCTGCGGAGACTGGCACTTGTCTCAGGGTCCCCCAGAGTGTCTCAGGGGGATGGAGTTCTAGGAGTCCCCATCTCATGTGTCATTAGTCACCTATATAGACTGCTTTCTTTGTCTCACTTCCCCTTCCAAATAAGTTAGGTGTCCCAAGACCTTGCCTCAAGGTCTACTTCTGGCCTTGATTCTCATTTAAGACCCATAGTTCAAGTGCTTCCTGCTAACTGTGTGCCTGGGAAGGAGGGTTGCAAGCCCAGGGCTGTGAGAACAGAAAAATTTTCAGTTTTCTTTCTGATGCCTTCTGTGACACCATCACTTCACAATCCAATATATGCTCTATGAAATCCTGAAAACTGCCAAATTTCACCCGATTTGGTCTAACATTCTCGAGGAGCTTGGCATTGTGTTAAAAATGCAGACATTCCCATGACCCAGTTCCTATTTAAAAACTGCCTAACTATTTAAAGTTCACTGTGGGGGAATAAAAGAAAAAAGACTCCCAAAGCCAAAGGGAGCATGAGATAGGCAAAAGAAAAATCCAGTTTGCTTCTAAAAAAGGCTGAAAATTATAACCACCCATGCTCTCGTGTCTCAAGTCTGAGGATTTTTTCCCCGCTATTCTGGTTGCTTGCAAACCCAAGTGGAATTTTATTACGGGTTACTTAGCCAGCTTTTTCAGCTTCCTAGCCCCCGAAAGTTTCTGCTCACTTCATAGCATGCCGTTCAGCTTCCTGATGCGGATGGGAAAGAGAATGGAGCCAAAATAAAGCAGACTGTGTCCGTGAGCTGTAAACCTCTTCCCCCAACACCACTCACTGCATTTCCCCAGCGCTTAGCCACGGGGACCCGGCAAAGCTGCCCAGCCCCTTTTATGATCAACAAAACCGTGATGAAGGCAACAGGAGTCAGAAAGCTATTCACTGCAGGAAGCCCCAGTATCCGGTGAGAAATAAGAAGTACAACAGCACAGGATGTGCCTTGGGTCAGGGGGACGTGAAAAGCCCTCAGCCTTTGTGTCCTCCTCTGAGCCAGAGCGTCTGCTGCTGAGCCCTCGGCTCCCCTTGGTGCTCGGCTGGGATCGCCGCTGTCACCACCAGGCCTCCAGCCTCCCCCTGAGGGGAACACAGAGGACACCATGGCCACCTCTGCCGACCTGCTGCTGCTGCTGCTCCTGGGCCAGTCCTGGGTGGGGGCCAGTGCTGACCGGGAGGCTGTGGTCTGCGCGGACACTGCCTGCTACACAGCCCACTGGGGCAAGCTGAGTGCGGCCGAGGCCCAGCTCCGCTGCAGTGATAATGGGGGCAACTTGGCCACAGTGAAGAGTGAAGAGGAGGCTCAGCACACCCAGCGAGCCCTCGCCCAGCTCCTGAAGCTCCTGAAGGCGCCTCTGGGGTCTCGGATAAGCAAGTTTTGGATTGGGCTCCAGCGAGACAAGGGCAAGTGTTTGGATCCCAACCTGCCGCTGAAGGGCTTCAGCTGGGTGAGCGGCGGGGAGGACACACTTTACACAAACTGGCATAAGGAGGTCAAGACTTCCTGCATCTCCAAGCGCTGCGTGTCCTTGCTGCTGGACCCTTCCCTGCCACCCCAGGCCGGACGCCTCCCCAAGTGGTCTGAGAGCCCATGTGGGAGCCCAGGTGCTCCCGGAAGCAACATCGAGGGTTTTGTGTGCAAGTTCATCTTCAAAGGCATGTGCCGGCCCCTGGCCCTTGGGGGCCCAGGCCAGGTGAACTATACCACGCCCTTCCATGCCACCACCTCCTCTCTGGAGGCCGTGCCCTTTGCCACCATGGCCAACGTGGTCTGTCGGGATGAGGGTAAGAGTGGGCAGCATTACTTAGTATGCCTGGAGAAGGAACCTCATGTGTTCGACTGGGGCAGCTCAGGCCCCCTCTGTGTCAGCTCCAAGTACGGCTGCAACTTCAACAATGGGGGCTGCCAGCAGGACTGCTTCGAGGGGGGCGATGGCTCCTTCCGCTGCGGCTGTCGCCCAGGGTTCCGGCTTCTGGATGACCTGGTCTCCTGTGCCTCTCGGAACCCTTGCAGCTCCAACCCCTGTAGAGGCATAGCCACCTGCGTCGCTGGACCCCAGGGGAAAGACTACACGTGCCGCTGCCCCCCGGGTTACCAGCTGGATTCTAGCCAACAGGACTGCATTGATGTGGATGAGTGCCAGGGCAGCCCCTGCCCCCAGGAGTGTGTCAACACCCCCGGGGGCTTCCACTGTGAGTGCTGGGTGGGCTATGAGCCCAGTGGAGAGGAGACCTGTCAGGATGTGGATGAGTGTGCCCGGGACAGCTCACCCTGTGCCCAGAACTGTACCAACACTGAAGGCTCATTTGTCTGTTCCTGCCAGGAGGGCTACATCCTGACAGGGGAGGACAGCACCCAGTGCCTGGATGTGAACGAGTGTGAGGGCCAGCAGGGGAGACTCTGTCAAGGCCTCTGCTTAAATACTCAGGGATCTTTCTATTGCAGCTGCCGGCCAGGCTGGGAGCTGGCCCCCGACAAGGTCTCCTGCATTGTGAGTTCTGTGACCACAGGGTCATCGACTGGGCCTCCCCAGGATGAGGACACAGGAGATGGAGAACGCAAATCTGCGCCTTTGACCACCATGTCCAGCCCCACCATGAGCCCTGAGGACACGCCCAAGGTGGTCCCCACCATGAGGAGATCCTCCCTTCCCCACAACACACCCATCATGCCTTCCCCACCTGAGATGCTGGCCCCCACTAGGCCTCCTGACATCCAGATGGAGCTCAGCACCTATGACCGCACAGTCATTGCTGGCCATGAGGAGTCCACAGGTGGTGGGGACTTCGTGGCCAAACAAAGTGACGGCACTGATGGGCAAAAACTACTTTTGTTTTACATCCTGGGCACGGTGGTAGCCATCTTGCTCTTGCTGGCTCTGGCTCTAGGGCTATTGATCTATCGCAAGAGGAGAGCGAGGAGAGAGGAGATGAAGGAGAAGAAGCCCCAGAGTGCAGCAGACAGCTACTCCTGGGTTCCAGAGCGAGCTGAGGGCAGGGCCAAGGAGAATCAGTACAGGTAAGGGAGGCCTGAGGGTGCCCAGTGGTAGGAGGACAGCAGGCATGGGAGGGAGGCAGAGGGCTGTGACAGGCTCTGAGTATGAGGCCCCCAACCCCATTTTAACCCGAGGCTGGCTGGAGCTTGTACCATGGGCAGAGGTGTGGGTTACCTGGGTCTAGATGGGCACACTTCCAACGCTGTCATCTTCTGTTTTGCATAGTCCAACGCCTGGGACGGATTGCTGAAGGCAAGGTGGTCCCTGAAACCATGAACAGTTGGCTGGAAACAACCTCAGAATTTTACGTGCCCCATGAGAAGGGGGACCTACATCCTTCCAAAAGACTGAATTGGAATCTTATCAAGCCATTCTAAACCTTCTCCTTAAAAGTCTGGCAGCTTGAAATGTGTAGGTATTTTCTACATGAGTAAGGTGTTCCTGAAGTGGAAGCTAAATGTTGGGGTGTCATTGTGGGAATTTTGTAAATATTAATGCCTCTCACCCCCACCTTTTCAGATTTTAATGTGACTTATTGTTTTTTGTGCGCTGATTTTGGGTGGAGGTGTTACAGATCAGGTGCTAATAGGAATCCTTTTGAACTGCTTCTCTGCTTACTTGAGTAATCTGGAAAAGACTTTCTACTCATACTATCTGGGGTTGAAATGATTTGCTCCTCTTAGGGTAATACAGATCAAGTTGATTATCAAATTATATAAGAAGCTCCCTTTTTTGTCAAGTGAGTGGATTCAGGACTAAAAACTTTTCTTTACATTTGCATTTCTGCATTTTCCCATCATCAATTTTGCTGCGTGGATGTTGGTGAAATCCCCCAAATGAGCAACCAGAAGTGCAAGAAACTGCTTAGGTAGCAAAGAGGCAGGAAGTTCCGAAATCTATTTCTTAAGATATGTCTGGGGTTCATTTGCAAGTGAAGTCTGAATAATGTGAGGAATTAAATATGAAGTGAATTAAAAGTGGTTTTGAAAACATGTAGTCTAAGGGGCTGGAGAGTGAGACCAGGGGATTGTTTCACAAGTGCTTGAATGGATTCATCCAAATATATTGATGTTGACACATACTTGACTATTGCTGGAGGAGCACTCATAAGGAAAAACAGTCCAGGACAACTCCACTGGCTAGTGCAGCCCCAGGATAGCCTCCCACGCTGCCCCACCTTCCCTGCATGCTGCTCTGGCTGAGGGGGCTTTGCTTGTACATAAAAGAAGTGCTAGAGAGTCTCTCATTCTGCTGGTTACTGAAGCACTTCTGAGGAAGAGGGAGGAGCTTCTGAGTTTTGAAAGATGTCCTAGTAAAGCATCTTAGCCTTCACAGTTGATCTTGCCTCCTGACAGCCTGATCCTGAGATGGAGCTGCAGCACACAGCCCAGTTCTGTGCGATGCCCTGCAGTGCTGCCTAAGGACATTTTGGTTTCTCTCTTTTCCTTAAAATGGGGGTGGGGAGGGAAGAAAGAGAAGAGGAGAGCATAACTAAGGTTTCTTGAAAATCAAAACTGCTGTAAGCAATTTTAAATTGTTCACTTAATATATAAGTAACCGTCTGTGCAGAGTATCTCCCCTTACCGCCCCCCTCCCATGTTAGGATCAAGAGTGTTCTTTCCTCCCTGTTTCTGTCCAGGTCCCTGGAAAGTAGCGGGGGATTCCTGATGGTCAGAACTCTGCAGCTGGGAGGCGGGGGTCTCCTGGGGGGCTTTCTGCTGCCGCTGTGCACAGCAACAGAGGGAAGTTTTCCACCAGGGAGTTCACCTTTGCTTCTTAGACTGAGGGCACCTCATTGTTTTGGTTTCATCTTAGAAATGCCTGTGTCCCAGAGGTCTCTGCCCTGGGCAGGAATAGCCACCAGGTGCATGGCCTTCAAAGCTAAGCCAATATCCTTTTGCCAAGTGTGAATATAGATGCAGTAGTTCAGATTTTTTTAAGAAAGAATGAAAAACTGAAGGAGCGCGATTGAAAGGAAAGATGAGGCTTAGTGGGGCTCAGTGGGGTGTCTGGAACTTGTGTTTCTAAAGTCACCTGGTATTCTTCAGTTTTCAGCTGAAACACCAGTGTTGAACTCTTTCGGAGAAAACGGCCATGTGGCCTGTGGCATTCTCTTGAATGAGAACCAATCATTCAGCCATTTAGATGATTTTAAAGACTTGGTCAGATGTGACTGGTATCTTCACATACAGGAAATAAATGCAAATTCAACAATTTTACCTCTAGGCCTTTACAATTCTTATCCTTATCATTCCGGGGAAGGAGACTTTCCTATTGTACACTTCCCATCACCCCTCCGTGGTCCTGGCAATCCTGAACTGGCTGAGGTCAACAGTGAGACATTTCGTCTCAGTGTTTGGATTTCCTACATAGCCCAGGCTCATTTTGTGCTTTCTCTTCCAATTTCTCTGTGGTTGGGAATATGAAGACTTGTTCTAGACACCAGGGAAATCTTGGATCCCTGCTGTGGATCCACAGGGAAGAAACGGACTGATAAGCAAAAGTTACTCAAAATATCTTCAGGTAATCAGCTCTTTCCAAAGCGAGGGAGCCCTTTCTACCAAGATAACTGAACTCGACAGCCTCTGTTAGTAAATCTGATGAACACTGGTGTCTTCAAATACATACTCTATTCTCCCACTTAATGCCACTGTCATTTTGTCTATGGCTTGCAAATCTTTTTTTTTTTTTTAAATCAGTTGGCCATTTTTTTTTAAAAGATTTATTTATTCATTTTATACAAGAACTGGGGTACAGGCCAGATGTGCAGGAGGGTAAGAGGATTCACTAGAGATAGAGCGGGGAACAGAACAGGCAGACTGATGAAATACACTGCTGAGGGGAGCAGCAGGCCAGACAGGAGAGGTCTGCTGTGCCATGTGGGACCCTTGCTGGCCGGCTGGGATCAAACCGGTGCTGCAGAGGCTACGGACAGCGGACAGCTTCACAGCGAGGCACTCAACTGCCTGCGCCACCAGAGGAGGCCCTGGTTTGCAAATCTTTGTTTGGGGAAGCTTGGGGGCCACATAAGTGGATAATCCGTTTGTTTGTTCAGAGGGACCCCATACTGTGACTCAGCCAGACAAATGGAGGGAACAGAGGGTGGGGACAGGAGTGCTCTGTGTGTGCAGACTCTGCCAATTGTGCCCTGGCCTGGAGGCGGGGTTGGGGTGGGGGGAGGCAGATGACACCCTGTTCTGTCCTGCCCTGTCCAGCAAAAGAACAAGTTAGGGCAAGAAGGAGAAAGAAAAGTTTCCACTGAGCAACAGGCTCAAAAACAGTGGAGACTTTTGTCCAAATAGAATTTCCCACAGTACAGTAATTCTGGGAGACTCTTGGAAAAACTATATTAGGAACTTAATCCTCCCTCCCACCTCCCAAGGCAGGTAATTTAAAAGGGAGATGACTCTTTAGACATGCAACCCACTATGCCTGTTTCTGAATTTTCAGACAATTGCTGATCTTTTTCTTGTTCATTGTCTGGAGAGGCCTGTGCAGGATGTTCCCCCAGGGAGTCTGTGGGGTGTCAAAAAAAACAAGGGTGGGGCAATGGTCTGAAAAAGCTTGGTAGGGGTGCTCTCACCCCTTTGTGGGATGAACCCTCTGCTCAACTGTGGCCTCCAGGTAAATGCAGCATCTCTGGTAGAACTTCCATCTCTGGTGGAACTTTTGGTCACTCGTAAGCTGAAGATGATTGGACTGACATGGTAACTCAACACTCCACCTGCTTCCCTCTGGCACCTCGAAGGGGGTGAATTTACTGGGTTCTGTCCTGCTGAAGGTCAGCAGGCTGCAGTGATTGCTAAGTCTGGCAAGGCTAACTCTAGTCCTAAGTGTTATTCAATAATAGACTTGAAATCCTTTGGAAAGACTCATTCTAGCATCTTCTTCAACATGTTAGACCAAAAAGTGGAGTAAAAAACTAAATATACATGTGTGCATGCATTTGTATGCTTTGTAGGAGGAATGGGATTAAAAACAATTCTCTTAAATATACAGGTACATGTTGCTATTCTTTTTTTTTTTTTTTAGTCTTTATCGTTAAGCTTAGTTTGAACATATTTGTCCTAGCCTTTTATCACTGAGAAAGAAAAAATATGGACTTGATCATTAAGTACTTTGTTTCAACCATCTTTCCCGTGAAAATTAATAGAACAGAAATGAGGTTTGACCAAAAATAATTTACTAAAATTCAAAATAACACAGTTTTTTTAAAACAAATTTAGGAAAATCTTTTCCTATTATTTTTTTATTCTTAGCTGCTCCATTGTCCAAATCAGCAAAACAGGAAAGCATTGCTTTCTAGCAGCTGCAAAGTGTTGTAATGTATCATACATATTTCCATCACCTTAAACAATAGGTTTAGCATGGGAATCTGAAATACAACCTCTAAAAACATCTTTCCCTTCTTTATCTGCAAAACTTGCTATATAAATTTGTCTTGTTTGTATTGTTTGTCAATCAAAAAGGAGGGTAATCATCAAAATTCTTCATGTATTCAATACCCAAGTAACTTACTCCACTCCAGATTCCCAAAATAACACTCACTGAAGTACTTTTTAAAAAATGAAATGTGTTTTGGTCTTTTTTTGGAGATAATGCACATTTATTTTAGGAAGAAGCTCTGAAATTCCTTTCTTGCATTGTTTCTCTTATCTGCAAGGTGGCAAGCATTTCCTTTCAGCAGATTTTGCTTGCATTTTCTGGGGTTGCAGTTCTTTTTGTATAGTTGGCTTAAGCTTGAATTAGATCTCCCACAAGGCCTTGCTCTGTGCTAGTAGATGCAACTATAAATATCAGTGATCACTTCATGAACGCTAAAAGAAAATACAAGTATTTTTAAATATGTGCATTTGAATTTCGTTCCACTAATTTTGGAATTATGGCGTTTCTATGTTAATTTTCTTCCAAAGCATGAATGTTTGCCAGGTTGGGGGGATAGAAGGTTGGACTCTGAAAACCAAGTGACATTTCGGTCACTGTCAAGTAGTAAAGATTTGTCATTCTTTATTCTTTGTGTTATGCATCTATCTAATAAACTCTGAAATACATTTGAGTCAGCATCTTTTTAACTTATTTTATGACAACTCAAAATATGTGGCAGAACTTGTATTCGTGGTCATTAACTACACCCACCTACTTCACTTTTCAAAGAGTTGCTAAGAGAAAATACATTACTGCCCAGTTTCTGTATCTTCAGCTACTGGAGGGGACATGGATTCAACAGGACCCAGATTGTTGCAGGACAGAGCCTTCCTACCTGCATTGCCTCTTAGCACCCTGCCCCTGGGAACATGGACCAAAAATGGAACTGGCCTGCTATGTGTCCAGTGGCCTGGCTACTGACCACCAGGCCTGGCTCCACGTGTCCAATTTCAGTGAAATGTAAAAACACCATTCTATTGATAGAATTATCATAGGAACTTTGTCTGCAGGCTTTTACAGTTTATTTATCTAATTGGACAGGCAGGCCAGATCCTTCATGGTTTGGCTGCATAAATCTTACTGTGACAGGAAGTTGGGGCAGCAGATGGTGTCTGATTCCAGTCCACCTGCTTTTCAGGTTGTGTGCTTGGTAGGAACAGGCTTACGGAGAATAAAGAGCTCTACTCTGTTGAACTAATGGACAGACTACTCACCATAATTACCCATTACTTAGAGTTAAATAAAGCTGATCCTTTCAGCAGTCACTAACAAAATACATTTGGAAATCATAGTGTAATATGAATAAATGTGACTGCCTCCCCCCACAGACACATATATACACACAGACATGTACCACACACACATAAATGTACACAGACACAGATATGTACTACACACACAAATGCAGAGAGATACTCATAGACACATGCCACACACATGGACTTGCACCAAAACAAACACACAGGGAAAAGCTGGTCATCAGTATACACAATAGGAACATCAACCCAAAAGAAAAGGGTAGGAAAAACTCTAGATGAACTTTGTTCAAAGTAATAACAGGGCCATCAACTCGCAGGAAGGAGGAGTGGCTGTGGTACAGAGCACCCTACAGCTATTGATGTGGTCACTCACAAATTTTGAGACTCCTAAGACTAAGCACTGTACTGGATAAGGGGTACATAAACAGGTGCCTAGGATGGAGGCTGCATAGTGGATCTATGAGAGTGCAGAGCTATAGATGTGAGGGCACAGAACAAGACTACTGGTTTCAATAGGGGCTTATAATAGAGAATAGTTGTAGCCTGAATTGAGTCAGGGCACCTGGATATCCTTATAAAAGAAACTATACTCACATCCAGGCTGAGCTATCCAAAACACCTGTCACCCCTGCCCCAGATGAGATCTATAGAACACTTGCCATCCCCGACAAAGGAACACCTCATAACACGAAGTTCAAATTTCCTAAGTTTACTGAAAGTGACACTTTGATGCCTGTTGCTCCAGTCCTCTATTTTGCCTACTACCCATCTCCAGTACCAGTCCCTGCCTACTCCAACAGGTGCAAAAACAACAGTCGAAAACTTATCCCTACTAAAATCCCAGACAAAATTGAAAATGAGGAGACAGAAGAACACAATACAAAAGCCAAAACAACAACAATAACAAAAAAAAAAAAACCCTGAAAGGAGCCCCAACTCAATCTAGTGGCAGAGCATTACAGAAGGGGAATTCAGGACAACAGTCCTGCAACTGATGAAACTTAAAAATACAATAGAGGGTATCAAACTGATGGAGGATAAGGATAGAAACGTTGGAAAGAAGTCACCACCTGACCAAAAACCTGGCTCATACAATGCCAGGAGCTGGAGGTGGGGGTAGAAGTATTAACATAGTTGATGAACCAGCTACAGGAACTGAAAATCCTTAGGCACAAAGGCACAGACCCAAGCAAAGGGTCAGACTTCTGTTAGTGTCATGGGAGCAGACTGGAGATAAAGATATGGAGATTGAGGGTCATTGTAGAATCTCTCGTCCCTTTCAAATTCTATATTGATTATTCAAAATCAACAGTAAAAAGGTCAGACAAAGGATTGGGCCCCTTCCAAAGAGAAGAAGACTGTTATCAGTGCAGTCTTTGCACTACCACGGGGCAGCAGTCCTTCTGCCCACCTGTGCCTGTGCAGGTGCTCCTTTTCACCAACTCTCTGTCCCTCTGTGGGGCAGCAGCCTTCCTGCCTGCCCTTGCATGACTGTGCCATTCTGGTGCTTCTTCTCACTGACCTCCCTCAGCAGAGGCAGCTGTCCTCAAGGTCACCTGCCTGTGACCATGCAGGCCTCTCTATTAGCAAACCTGTCCCTTTGGGGCACATCTTTCTGCCTGTTTGTGTCTATGCAATTGTCTTTTATTTTCCCCCCTCCCTTTTATAACAAACCTGCCCTTTTGGAAACTCGTCTGTGTTGCTGAAAGGGGAGCTCTGGTGAAACTTATCCCAGAGTGAACCCGAGCACCCCACTCTCAAACCCAGCAACTCCAAAAATGACTTCAAAACCACAACAGAATAAAATGAAACAGGTGAAAATATGAGGCTGCTATACTCAAAAACAAATGAAGTTAAGAAACACTCTAGTTGCTTTAAGAAATATAATTGAGAACCTTAATAGAAGACAAACCAAAACACCAGAGAGAATCAATGAGCTTGAAAACAATGTTGGGGAACACAAGACTAGAACAAGGTAGAGACAAAAGAATTCAAAAACTGAAAACAATGTAAGAGCTCTCTGGGACAAGTTAAAGAGAAATAATTCCATATCATGGGATTCAAGAATTGGAGGTAAAATATAAAGGCACAGAAAACCTATTTAAAGAAATAATTACTGTGGGTCTTCTGGGTGACACAGGGTTAAAATTTCAGTGCTAAGCAAGCTATCACCAGCCACTGCAGTATGAGTTTGATCTCCGGCCAGGGAGCTACCCACATGGCACAGCAGACCTCTCCTGTCTCGCCCATTGCTCCCCTCAGCAGTGTTTTCAGTTAGTCTGCCTGTTCTGCTCCCCACTCTGTCTCTGGTGAATCCTCTCACACCCTGCACCTCTGACCTACACCCCAATTCTTGTATGCACAAATAAACAAAAATAAAGTTTAAAAATAAAAAAAGAATCACTGAAAATCATCTCACTCTGAGAAATGAAACAGAAGTTGTGATCCAAGAAGCCCAAAGAGTTCCAGACCAAATAATACCAGATAGACACACCAAGATGCAAAATAACAAAGCTGTTGGGAACCAATGACAAGGAAAAAATATTTAAAATATCAAGAGTAAAAAGGGTAAACCATAAGGGAAAACCAGTCAGATAGTCAACAGACTTTTTAACAGAGATATTCAAAGCACTTAAAGAAAAAGATTTCCAGTCCAGAATCCTATAACCTGCAAAACAAATAATCAAGATAGAAGTAAGATTATGGAGCTTCACTGAAAATCAAAAACTAAAAAAATTAATCAACATTAAGGCGTATATAAAAGAAACCCTAAAGGGGTTGTTATAAAGAAACAGTGAATATGGAAGCAAAAGACACCTAAATTTATTTTTATGGGGGAGAAGTAGGAGGAGGAGGAGGATGGAAGTAACAATGTGGCCTATTAGAACCAGACAGACATACACCACATGTACACCCACAGTGTGTACCCCGACACACACATACCACACACAAACACACACAGACCTGCATCACACACAAAAGCACACACAGGTGCACATAGACATACACTATATACATAGATGTGCACTATAGACACAGATATATACCACACACAGAGGCATATACTAGAGACAAACTCACACACAAATATATACTGATATGTACTACATGCACAAACACAAAGAGACACACAGACATACACCCCACACAGACACACAGACATACATAAGACATATACTACACACACACCATACAAATAAACACAAATACACAAGGATATACACCACACACACATAGACACAAATACACAAAGATATACACCACACACACATAGACATAGACACACACATAGACACACACACATAGACACGTGAAACATGTACTGCACACGCAAATGCATCCACATAGACATACGCAATACACACACACACAATTTGAACATTTATCTGTTTCAGATAATAAAAACAAAAACAAAAACAACCTGAGGCTGGTGTTTCCTGATTTAGGAAAAACTCATGACCACAAATGCTAAATATTAATGGTGACTCTTGTTTTGTTCTTGGTGCATAAGACTTTTAATGGAAAGAAACTTTAATACAATAATTGTGCAATTAAGAGATTAATGGTGCCTCTTGGTGACTTTTGCTGTCTGCTAACTAAATTGACTTAAATGCTAGGTAAATCTTTGAAATATGAATCATTCACAAAAAAATTCAGTTTATACAGAATTATATCCTTACACAATGAAAAGTATATTTGTAACAGACACAGAGATGAAAACGCAAGGCTCACATATATTATGTATAGTTTATGGTATTTAACATGAGTTGAATGAACATATAAAGTTTTTCAGACTCTTAAGTATATTCAGTGAGTGGACACAGAGAGAGCAGAAGTAATAAACTTGGAGGCCAACAAGTCTCATTTCAGCCTCTCCCTGAATGACATTTTGACATTACAGCTGCTTACAAAGAGAACAACTTCCACATCTTTGTTACCATCCCTGCCCTCCTTGAGCTTTTCAAAGGAAAGCATAGTGAAAAAGTGAAGCACAGACAGAGGGTCAAAGGACAGGATGATACAGAAGTTTGACATTTACCCCCGATGTTGTGAGCCTGCTGCCCTAAAGGGAGCTGGAGTTTTTGAAGAATACCTATTTACTCTGCATGAGGAGTTCCAGGACATTAGAAGTTCTGTAAACAGAATTTCTTCCCAGAATTGACTCCTGTTCTCTGAGGACGTGCTGGCGTGCGCGTGTTCCCCACTAACCAGGAAAACTTGTTTTCAGCAGTAACTTAATAATACGTATAATCAAAAACTCAATTGCTTGCTATTTTCTTGTTTCTTTGTTCGTATCTTTAATAAAAGCTTGGGCTGGGAGGGTGAAAGGCAGCGCTGCTCTGGATGGCACACTCCCCAGCCTCCCACCACTGCAAATTCATTTAGACTCCCAGTCTTTGTTAATGG